GCTAGGTAAATAGATTGATGTCGAAATGTTAAGACTGGGCGAGCAAACTTAAGTTTTTTTTTTTTTTCCCCACGAATCCCCTGTACCTGCTGACTCGGCTGACATTTCATAATGGCAAGGCAGATGAAGAAGAAAAAACTAACAAAAAGTATGAATGAAGACAAACGTTGTGCAGTTGTTCCTCAATACTGTGCTACACGATACCCACTTATATCTTAGCAGATTGTAATAAGTGGCCAGGTGTGCACATTAATCTTCAATATCATAAAGACGCATGTCATATAAGAGAGAGGATTTTACACATTCAAGCTCTATTCTTTTTACAACGTGCAAATTACAACCTCGTACCTGCCAAGCGAATGTTTGACATCACCCTGTTAGCCAAAGTTTGTAATGCCTAACAAATTGAATAATGGCTGTAGGACTGCTGAAACCCAGTCAAAGGGAGGAAAGATAAAATATATTCACGACAAAAAAGCATTGCCTCTTTGCTCTGCAAGACATGACACCTCGACCATACACCATTACGTGAATTCAGCAGAAATCCTGCTTACTCGCACTCGTTCTATAAATAGGAATCAGGACATCCCCTTTTCGGTTGGCTGGGAATATCAACACTCAACAGGGACCCATCTACAAATGCTATTGCTGGCTAATGACTTTTAATGGACAGCACGAAAATCCTTGTTGGCCATTCAGCCTTGGAAACAAACTATAACTATGAAATGTGCATTACACGAAAACCCGCCATCAAATCGCGCGAGCGCGGATATGCGAGAGCTGCATTTTTTTCTCATACGCAAGCAATGTCACGTGAATGCCATCCAACATAACCACGATCCGGTATCATGAACACAGCATATGGGCGATTACAACGTGAAGCTGCGTCATTTAAAGGGCAGATACGGCACTAAAAAGGGGGCATTAATGGGGTTGACGTTTAAACAGGAATTTCAATTGTGCTCCCGTGCACAAGCAGCACTCGTAGGCAGGCAATCACCATCACGATGCTAGCAGCCAACGCACTATATAGCTTTACCATCCTCAAGATGAATTTAACAAAACACAACTGCCATCGCCGACAATTCGTACACCACACATTGGAGTGGCACACGCCAGGGCAAGAGGACAAATATTTCAGACCAACAGGCAAGCAAGCTGAATTGTAAACAAAAAATTGTGGAAAAACAAGCGTTTCGATGCACACACTTTTATTTGCACTCAAAAGTATGAGTACATTCTTTTGACACCGGAATTAATCAAATTTGATGTGCTCCATAAAATTGGGTGGCCTGCATGAAGAATATTAAACACATCAAAAGTAAGCCACCCACTTTTATTGATCACATCAAATTGTGCTAATTCCAGGGTCAAAATTATTTAATTTCTACTTTGAAAAAATAAAAGCGTGCGCATTGAAAATCGTGTTTATTACCTTTGTGTATTACTAGTCGTGTTACTAGTCGTGTTACTCGTTGTGTGTACTGAGTACTTGAGTATATTAGTTGAATGTACTAGTTGAGTGTACTAGTTGAGTGGACTAGTGTGTACTAGTTGTGTACAATTGTTGTGTATTAGTTGTGTATACTATTTGTGTGTTGTAGTTGTGTACTAAATTTTGACTTAAAACTTTCGTGACTGCAGGAATTCATATCCTATGGTTCTTTCGGTAAAGTCACGTAGATAGAAAAAATAACAATAAAATAATCATAATCAAGTGAATACAAATATCACTACGTTTCGTTCGCAACACAAGCGGTCATCTGCACTAGTTGTGTGTACACTAGTTGTGTGTACACTAATTGTTACGCGAGGCGGCGAGTCTGTGTACTAGTTGTGTACACTTGTTGTTACGCGAGGCGGCGAGTCTGTTTTGAAAATTTCAGCTCGTTGGGCTTTGTAGATCCCAAGCTTTAAAAGTGTCAAAGATTCCAAAGAATACAGACAACACGGAAAAAGTTCAATACAAGTGTGTGAAAAAAGTGTGTGATAATAATAAAAGTGTGTAATAATGAGATGTGGATGAGATATGAAAAAAATCAGGAAACTAACTTATGTTAAACGTTGGTCCATTTGCAAAGTGAATGTCCAAAGAAAAAAGCAAACAATTGGCCGTTTCAAACTAAAAATGTTCTCCGTCGATTTTTGAAGATCGATGGCAATTTTTAAATACAAATCATTAAACGCAGAGGCATGCATAATGGACATCTTAATCGGAAAACGCAATTAATGGTGAGGTTAATGGATACAATGACCGGACGTCAAACAACGCGGCACCCATTTTACATGCATAAAGCCTGATTTGGTGGGTAAAGGGCTCATGTTATTTTACATTTTGAATACTTCAGCTAAGCGTAAAAGTACGTATAAGTGTTATATAAATGCATAGACCACCGCAAAAAAGTTAGCATTTTCTTTGTATGACTGTTGTTTTACTGTTACTAAGATACAAAGGTACATTGGGTTCCCGAGTGGTCTCACCAAATACGACAGCATTCATAAACGCGTTTCCTGGTCTGTCACACTTGTGCAAAACACACACCATCAGTACACACCACTAAGCTTACCATATCAACATTGATGTACGTGTTCAGGGCCTCCCGATACCGTTACAGGTCCCAAGTGGTTGTTTGACCACACTTCACCAAACTGGTCAATCTAGATTTGAGGTTTTCGTGACTGCAGGGATCCATACTCTTTGGTTCTTTCGGTAAACTTGTCAGTGCAGGTTGGCGAAGGAGGGAAACAAAGACGGAGCATAGTAGGGTGCAAAAATACATTTTTTCTTGACTGCCCTTGACTGCTAACGTAGCCCCCACAGCAGGCTACAATGCCTGTTTAATACATGGTGGTCACTCATCCAATCACGATTCAGGCTCAAGCCTGCTCAGCTCCCAAGACCTAAACAGGCCAAATGCATTCCACATTTGGTCACGGTAGTACTGGATGTAATACACCCAATGTTGTGTCGGTATGCGAGGTAGGCTAGCAGGCAGGTAGGCACACATAGCTCATGTGTAACACCACTTAGAATGAACCATTAATAATTGAAATACAGCCATTTACAGCACATATATTAAGCCAGTAAGAAAAATAAAGGTATGAACATGATGCATAGGCTTTAATAATATTAAACACAGGATGTTGGATGGAGGGAAATCAATAGTGTGAACTAGAGGTCATAAGTGGAGATGAAAATGCTGACACAGAATACTGTATCTGATAGTACATATGTCAAAGTAAAATATTTCCAGGCCTATGCATAGATGGACACTAACACAATGATATCGTATAACCTGCAGAATATATCAACACAGAGTAATAGACCATGTTTATAAACACAATGTGGTTAATCAGCACAAGGGCCTTTGCTGTGAACTATCCACTATTGGATGAAGGCCTCCCCAATCATCACGATCTATCTTATACAGAAACAATTATCCAGCCTTCTATCTCCTGCACCCAAACTGATCTCATTGCTAATATTTCCGAATAGCACGGTTGGTTACGTACGGTGCGAAAGAAGTTCCACATACGTACGTACACAACTGGACAACCTCGAGAAAGATCCTTCCTTTGGTTGTCACTTTGCCATTCTCACCACCGGTCATCATGCCTTCCAGCAACGTGACCTGCCCAAGACAACTTTTCTTAACAGCGAATATGAAATCTCTAACTTTCATATATTCCCCGATCCACATGTTACTCTTCCTTGTCCCCAAGTATAATGCCAAGTGTGAATCTCTCCATGAAAAATATACAAAGCAGTGGCAAAGGGACTTGGCAGACACGGAAGGAGGATTTATTGTCCAAAATGTTAGCCAGTTATAGTTTTTACTGTCGTAATACTGTTAATAAAACACTAATTATGTTTCAGATTTTGTTGTGTACTCCTACCAACACAGTTACTTAATTTCTTCTTAATTTCTTGTAGGCAGATGGACACATGACCAAGATACTGTAGATACAGCAATGAAAGACCCACAAAAGCAACACATTACTAATCAAATAACAGGTTAATTAAGAAAACAGGGTTTGCGTTGCTCTCACTGAAAGGGAAGAACAGATCGCAACGTTTCAGCTGACGGGTCTTTAGGAAACATGAAGCGATGTACAAGAAGTCTTACAATCCTGGAAATGGCAAGTGGGTTGGAACATTTTGTTCGATGGCCAGATGGCCAATTAACCAGACACAAAGGGAAATACACGTAGAGCCAATTTGCAAATTGACTGCTGGATGGGGGGGGGGGGGGGAGCCCTCTCCACACTATGGAAGTCATCTTGAAGGTTATAGGACAAGGCGGACACAGACGTAGGGGCACAGAAGTACAGCACAGCAATGGATTTCGCTGCACTGTTCTCTGCTGCCCTACCATATGGAGCCTGTGAGTCTACATCTTATGTGTGCATGGTGGTTATCCATTAAGTACTATTCAGGTTAACCCCTCCTTATCATCCGAGATCGAGCATTTTCCGGCTGATGTGTGTATGTATTTTGATTTAAAGCTTTCGTGACTGCAGGGATTCATATTCTTGGTTATTTCGGTAAAGTCACGTAGAAGGGAAACAATAAATAATACAAATATAAAACAATAAAATTCTCACGACGTTTCGACCGCAACACAAGCAATCATCATCAGGTGTGAAAACCACAACAATAAAATTCTCACGACGTTTCGACTGCAACAGCAAGTTTTCTTGCTGTTGTTTGCACACCTGATAATTGCTTGTGTTGCAGTCGAAACGTAGTGAGAATTTTATTGTTTTATATTTTTATTATTTTATTGTTTCCCTTCTACGTGACTTTACCGAAAGAACCAAGGATATGTGTGTATGTATTTTGAACTTCTTTCGCACAGTACGTAGCCAACCGTGCTAATCGGATGTGCGATCAGCGTCATTAACATGTTTTAGGCATGGCAGTGCGATCAGGTGTGATTTGGTCAAGCGATCCTCAATGGCAAAATGACTCGGCACCACCACGCGGCGATTCCATTTACCTGCTCGAAGCCGCCACCTTCGTCTGGATCCATCGGGGGTCCCAGTGGAGGATGAGCCAGGGCCGGCTCCGTGGCTGAGGCAGAGCGGGGTCGGAGCCCCACACCTCCGCTGTGCTCTCGCGGCAAAGACTCCGCCTTCCTGTGCTGCTGCGGGCTTGGCCTTACCACCGACGTCGCCGTCGGCTGGGCCAGAGCGGCAGTGGTGGTCGTGGTGGTGGTGATGGCAGCGGTGAGCGCTGCTGCTGCTGGTGGTGGTGGCGGCGGCGGCGGTAGTGGCGCTGGGTCCAGCTGGCTCGGTCCCGAGCCCCGTTTGCCGGTGCCGCTGCCGCGTGGCCTCATCTGCTGCAGCACCCGGTTGAAGGCGGTCTGCCGATCTTGGGTGCCCGCCGTGTCTTCGTCTGCCGTGGATGGCACAGCCGACCCATCCCGCTCAGACCTCTCGTCGGACTCCTCGCAGTCCGACTGCTGCAGCAGGTGCTGCTGAGAGTCGGAGCCGCTTCCGGGGGCGAATCCTATACCTCGGCGGGTGAGGGGGGAAGCCTCGGCGAGACCGGGACCCGTGGCTTGGGCCTGAGCCTGGCTCGGAGTCTCCAAAATCGGCGTCTGCGTTGGTGTCACACCGCGGTCCTTGGAGCGCTTCCGCGGTTGAAAGAGCTGCTTGAAGCCCTGCCCGAACATCGTTGCTCCTGCAGGCCCTCCTCCACCACCACCACTAGCAGCTGCTTTCCCACCAGAAGCCGCAGATCCTCCGGCTCCAGAAGATCCGAGGGCTCCGATTGCTGCTGCTGCTGTTGTTACTGATCCAGCTCCACCTGCTGCCTCAGACCCTGCTGCCGTGTACGGGCCACCTGGCAGGCCCTCTCCTCCGTGGCCCAGCTCGGCAGACCGAAATCGCTTCATGGCCCTCCCAACCCACTCCGCCTCAACTTTTGGGCCTCATTTAATGTTAATGTCGCCTCATTTAAGAGCTTACTTTTCCCTTCGTGTATCTCTCTCCCCGTGTGTGTGTGTTTTCTCTCTCTCTCACTTTCTTTCAATGGTTATTGTTAACGAATTCACCTCGCCTCCTTTGCCTGTTACCTTACCAACCACTCACGATTTAAGACGCGTGGAAATGCGTGCCAAAGTCCAACTTAAATATAAAAATAATGGAAGTCTCCTTTATGGCGAAAATGAGTTGTCTTAAAAAAAGAGCTATTTTGTTAGTTTCAGTGTAGTTTGTTTTGGCCCAGCTAATTCTAAGAAGCCTGTATTTAAAGTTTAATCGCTACAGTATTTGCTAGGTAACGCTCTTTATACGCCAACAAACCAACGTAACTATATGAACAAGTTGATAATTTAGTACTCTTAATAAACAGCTCTGCAAGGAGAACAAAAATAACCACAGCAACAAGAAGAAAGCAAATTAATAACACAAAACAAAATCCACACAACCGCGTGCATTCAAGAGAGCCTGGTCCCACACAAACACACACACACATCTGCTTGGGCCAACTCCATTCCCACCACCCAACAACCAACACAACCGCTCCTAAAATAAACCCAAAACAGCTCTACCGAACCAACAACAAAGCGCAACAACTAGAAGAAGAAGAAAAAAACACAACTGCCGGTCATTTTAATAACAACCCCCATCCCCTGAATCGCATTAGACGAACACGGAGTTTTGATACAACATCTACCGGTGAGCGTTTGAAGCCGCTTATCCCCCCCCCCCCGTACCATCAAGGTGTTTTTGTTTGCGAGAGCCACGCGCTCACCTCTCTCTTGCCTGCCTCCCTGCCTCCCTACCTGCCGCCGTCCACGCCGTGCCGCCCTCGCTCGGCTTCTGCCACTAAAGCTCGCCAGGTCCCCCCCCCCCCTATCAACCCCGTCGGGGATTGTTGGTCGTGGGGGGGGGGCATTTAAAAGCGACGTCTCCAATTCCCTACGCTGCATAGGCGACGCGCTCCGGTGTCTCTTGGCCTTCTATTGGTCGGCGAGCGGCACGCGCCACGTCGCCGGGCCAATGGGACGCGCGCTCGCGGCGCGTTCGGCCTAAGCTCGCTAGGGAATGTATCGCCCTCTATCGGAGGGGGGGGGGGGATAGTTTGTTTATTATTTATTTATTTGTTCGGCACCAACTTCCCGGATGCGGTTCGGGGGGGGCAGGGAGGCGGGGGGGGCAGGGAGGCGGGGGGGGCAGGGAGGCGGGGGGGGGCAGGGAGGCGGGGGGGGGGGCAGGGAGGCGGGGGGGGCAGGGAGGCGGGGGGGGGGGCCTTGGCCAATCACAGCGAGGCTTGTTGACGCGCAAACCAATCGTGTTTGAGCTCCGGGGAGACGTAACCTGGAGTTGTGGGGCGTGGTGATGGGGGGTGGTGATGGGGAGGGGTCATGGGGGGTGATGGGGAGGGGTCATGGGGGGTGATGGGAGGGATAGGGGGGGTGGTGATGGGGGTGGTGATGGGGGGGGGTGATGGGGGAGATGGGGGGGGGTGATGGGGAGGGGTCATGGGGGGGGGTGATGGGGGGAGGGTGGGGTGGTGATGGGGAGGAGTGATGGGGGGGGTGGTGATGGAGAGGGGTGATGGGGGGGGGTGGGGGGTGATGGGCGGGTGTTGGTGGGGGGGTGATGGCGGTGATGGGTGGGTGGTGAAAGGGGAGGAGTGATGGGGGGTGATGGGGGGGATAGGGGGGGTGGTGAAAGGGGAGGAGTGATGGGGGGTGATGGGGGGGATAGGGGGGTGATGGGGAGGGGTCATGGGGGGGGGGTGATGGGGGGAGGGTGGGGTGGTGATGGGGAGGAGTGATGGGGGGTGGTGATGGGGGGTGATGGGGGGGATAGGGGGGTGATGGGCGGGTGTTGGTGGGGGGGTGATGGCGGTGATGGGTGGGTGGTGAAAGGGGGAGGGTGATGGGGAGGAATAATGGGGGGGGGGGGGGTGAGGAATGATGGGGGGTGCTGGGGGTGGTGATGAGGGGGGGATAGGGGTGTGATGGGAGGATGATGGGGGGGGGTGATGGGAGGTTAGCGCTACGCTGCGCTACGAACCCGGGGACCCGAGATCGATTAATCCAAGAGCCGAATGGCTCACAGGGCTATACCAAATAAATGAACTATAACTATATAAATGATTCCCGCTCACGGCCAACACCAGTGACGATTATCTGAACCGATCGTGTGCCGTGCCGGCCTTCATAGGTGCTGCTCGCTAACAGCACTTGCCCCTACAGTCTGTTGACATGCTATACGGGGGATCTTTGTCTTTGTCTTCTGGTGGGGGGGAGTGGGGTTCCGCCCTTAGTGATGAGCGTGGGTTGCCGTTGCATTTCGTAGTGCGGATAGGCGGCGGCGGTCGGTGGGGGGGCGGGGCTCGCTCGCGATTGGTTTGACGGGCGTCGTTGTCGCCCCCCCCCCGCCTTGCGTCTGCCTGGGCGGCGTCCTCCGATTGGCGGGCGCCGCCTCGGGGCTGCTTAAGCGCGCTGGGGAATTCGAAGGCGGGGTTCCGGCCATTAGCGGCAGTGCAGTGACACGGGAGAGGAAACCGATCACCAACACCCCCCCCCCTCCTCTCTCTCTGTAGCTCCAGCAGACCCGCCAACACTCGGCCATGAACGAAGATTACGACGTGATCGTGCTGGGCACGGGCCTGAAGGTAATTCGACGAGCCGTGAACGACGTCGCGATTAATTGCGTGAAGGCGGCGGCGGCGGCGGCGAGGGGAGAACAAACGTAGCCGCTGTCACGCCAACAGGGCCCCGTGTCTGAAAGGGCCTCCGTGTGAGCCCTTCCTGGAATTCAACCCAAATTCTCTGGGCTTCTTTCGTTTTCGTTGCCCGTGTTTTGTGTGGTTGTTAGCGGCGGGGGGGGAGGGGGGTAGGGTTTAAAGGCTCCTACCATGCGGCGCTGTTTTTTTTTGCGTATAATTAGTTGCGTTTATCCCTCACTAAATGCTGTGCTGCGGCCTTCCATGATCCCAATCGCCTGGCACGTGACCAATCTGGTCGCACCTCGGAAGCTCAGCAGATGTTGAGCCTGGATGGTGCTCGGATGGGCGACCACCACACGGCCATGCACGTTTGCGTACGCGCCGTGTACGTCTGAAGTTCATTTCGCACTGCACGTAGCCGACCGTGCTGTCATCGGAGGTGAGGGGTGTGGGGGAAAGGGTTTGTCACGGGCTGTCCCAAGAGGACGGTGCAGCAACTGAGATCCATTGACGCTGCCGCCCCCCCACCACCACCACCACGTTACAGCTCGCGCCGACGGGCGTGGTGAAGTATGGTCAGATAACACCCGTGACCCGCACGGCGGTGGGGAGGCCCTCGTCCCGCATTAGATTTTAACAAAGGGCGCTCGCTACATGTACTTGACTGTGAAATGTCAAGTTGGGTGCTCACGTGACAACGTTGACAATCTCGCGGCTTTTCCGTAGTGTCGAAGGGCACCGCCGAGATTTGTTTTAATTTCGAGCAAAATGAAGGCGTAAAATAGCAGGCCAAATTTTACTCTGCCAATGTACGTCTCAACCGTTTAATAATCGGAATACTTATCCTGGAGGAATCCGATGAGCTATAAAGCTCTATTTCGCAGATGTCCAGTAGGGGCGGGTCAGAACGTTACAGCAACACAAAATACAAAAAAACATCATAGAGGAGTGCAAAGTGTAGGAAAGGTAAGCGGATATTCTTTTTTTTTAAACGCAAGTAACCATAAAGCCGCTTTTTTGCGTGAAGCATGAATACACCACATGGACAATGTCGAGAGATGTAAATTGTGGTATGTATTTTTCGATTTAAAGCTTTCGTGGCTGCAGGGAGTCATCTTCCTGGTTCTTTTGGTAAAGTCACGTAGAAGGGAAATAATAAAAATAAAACAAAATTAAATTCTCACGACGTTTCGGCCACAACAGGACGGCTGCTTGTGTTGTGGCCGAAACGTCGTGAGAATTTTATTTTAATTTTATTATTTCCCTTCTACGTGACTTTACCGAAAGAACCAAGAATATTGTGGTATGTATTTATGTTATGAAATATAATGCCAACAGTTATGTCATGGCATCTCCACTAAAAGCATTACAGTATATGTCATCTGAAATACAGCCGAGTCAATGATCATTCCACAACATTCAGCCCATTGTTTTTTGGGTGAATTTCCGTTTCCCGTTGCTTACTTTAGTGCGAGGGGTTTTTTTTTTCAAGTGGACAGAGTACATTGCTTATTTGTGCATTGTCAGAATTTGTATTTTTTTTAATTACCCTGGTTTTGTTAATTTTGTTTTGAGTTTGACAATCTTCTGAACTTTAAACGGTGATAAATGAAATGTATTCAAAGGTTGTCCCATTATGATTGCAGTTTTGTGCCCATAAATATTTTTAACTATTTAAATATTCGTGGTTTTTTTCTCCCTGAAACAAGGAAGTATCAAGGGCTGAAATTAAATATCCTGCTTTTTAAGCCAATTTTGCTTCACGGTGATCACGGGATGCATAAGCTGCAAAGTCCACCTGCAAACAGGCAGCCTTCATTTCCTGCATGCGGCAGAAGATAATTATTAACATCCGTTGTCATTATGGCAACTCAACATTACGCAAAAATAGCTGAAATGCACGCACGTCAACGACATGTCACTTTCACCTGCACAGTAACTGAAAACATATGTTAATTAAAATCACATATCATACTTTGTTCTCCTTTGCCATTGATGACCAATATTGTGGTCACTCATCAGTGCCGTTTGACTTTTGTTTTCGAGCAGAACACAAACTACTGGAGGATCATTTGCGCCATTAGGTTACACTATCGCAAGACAGTCATGGTCTCAAGAAATGTTTCTTGCAATATATATGCTGCATGTCACAAATCGTCATGCATGTTTAAATGATGTGGTTATATTTGTATAAACCACAGTCATGTGGGCGTTTTCAACACATCTTAATGATGTTTAGGCATGAGCGGTGGTGCAGTGGTTAGCTTCAACCTGTTCTAACTAATGTGGTGAAAGTATGGGCAATCAACTCCCAACAACTGAAAGGCATAGGGAGACCTTCACCAGCAGTGGGTATGTACAGGGCTGCATGAAACTATTTTCTGTCTGTACATAAAGCTAAATACCACCATGTAAATGTGATATGTAATAATTGCAATGGCACCTCTGATTAGCACGGTTGGCTACGTACGGTGCGAAAAGTTTAACATGTACATTACAGTACAACGTCCACATATCCATATGTGACAGGTCGGATATGTGTACATCTATGGAAATGTATAGTTAGACCATGTGCAAATTGCTTACTGGACTAAAATGAAGTGTAAATTACTTTAAAGATGGAGAAAAATATTCACCGTACTGTAGCAGTGAATGTATGCGAGATTAAACCTTTATTTCTGCACATGAAATAATCAGATTTGTGAACATCAATGGAAAATGGCAGTTGCATCATATGCAATCCTGCACTGGGCGTGGGCAGTTAATTGGTCACAATGGATATGCGACTGTCGGATATGCGACGGCAGACTGTATAACTTACCATAAATGTACACGTGTGCATGTTCCTCTGTCCAGGAATGCATCCTGTCGGGCATCATGTCGGTGAATGGGAAGAAGGTGCTGCACATGGACCGCAACTCATACTACGGAGGGGAGAGCTCATCTATCACCCCCCTCGGAGATGTCAGTTTGGCATCATCATCCCTGCCACAACCTCCAGCTTTGTAGCCATAAGCTTTAGTCAAAACCACGCTAATCTATAGAATGGCTTGAATGTGGTTGTATTTCAAGACATTATACAAAAATCAATACGTGCACATTGTTAGATAATGGTGAAAAAACATGGGCAATTTATTGATATTAGAGTTGTAATGGGCAGCAGTAGGCAGTGCAGAAAAAAAATGTTCTTGCATTGTTCTACGCTCCCACCTATGCTTCCCATGAAGGAGCTTGGCATGACATTAGGTAAAAGGCGGCTTAGCCAAAGTAATCCATCACCCAAGCCTCCGCATGCTGTGTCATGCTTGCGTTGTGAGAACCCA